GTAACGAACGACACCACCTCCTCCTCCTCCCTCCTCCTCCTCCTCCTCTCTCTCTCTCTCTCTCTCTCTCCAATACACGTAGATGCCCCCGTTCCAGACTAATTGGTAACAACGCGTAATTGATCCTCGTCCAATTAACCAATATACGGGGACATATACCACCACCACCACGGTTAATTAGGAGAAAAAGGTGCACCTTTCTCGGCGGCATTTTTGCTCGATGGTTAATTGCCCCGTGCGAGACGTGCCCGGCCATTAGTTATCAACGTTTCCACATCCAGGATTTCGCGCAAACTTCCCACCTTAATTGCAACAATTTCGTCTGGAGCGGAGACATCACAGCCAGGTATTGCGTTCTCGCCGAGAGAAACTTATCGATCCCACGGGAATGAACGAATATATATATATATATATATAGTAAAAGTCGAACAACAGGCTCATTGTTAATTGCTCGTTACCTGTATTCCACTCCCCTCCCCCTCACCACCCGGGCTAGGCCTTCACCTGTGATTTATGCTTCTTCGAAACGGTGAGCGCGGTTAACTTAATGGATGGAGGGCATTAGAAAACCTTGGGATACGACTACGAGATATCCCGAATGTTTCGTAAAAACCTTCCTTTCAACAACGTGGTGGACAACGAAGGTAAGGAACGATTCCATTTGTGTCGTTAGAAACGATCGCAGCTTGCTTTTCGTTTCAATTAAGTAAGATCTCTGAAAATGATGGAACAAACGTAGAATAATAATAATAATTATTATTATATAAATAATCGCGTTCGTCGATCCATCTTCGAATGAACGTGGACGTATGGACGTTTCCTTTCCTCTTTCTATCACACTTATATTGAACTTTTCCAAGGGACGTGGAAAAATATGGACAAAAGGAGAATTCCAGGTTTGCTTTATCTCATCGTTTTCTAATCAATATCCCTAGCGATCCTATTCGATTCTTGGCGTGTGCAACGTGTGCAACGCGACGCGACGCGTGAAACTCGAACAGGTTTTCGACGCGTCTCCTAACCCTCCAGCTGGCGAAAGCTGGCCGTAGAGAAACCACGAGGCGAGCCCACCCTTTTCGAGTGGAACATGACGAAGCAAGTGTAGGAAAGCGACACGCGATATGCGCCACCTGACCCCACCTGCGAACCCTCGAATGGTTTCTCGCGGTGTCGGAGAAAGAAGCGCGGGATGCGAGAAACAGGATCTCTCGAAGGTGTTCGGGAAACCGATCGAAACCATTCCATTCGATCGAGAGGATGAGAGCGCGAGGATGAGGAGGAAGGAGAGGATATCGCGGCGAGGATCCCGAACGGACGTCCCGAAGCGCTGTTCCGCCTTATAATTTTGATCTACAGCGGCGAGAGGAATCCAACATGGCCGCGGACTCGTTCTACGCCGTAAACAGCGAGCCGTGTATTCATCCCGCTTTGCATGATCTTTCTCCATTTCTGCCGCCTACTCGTATCGTAAATTCGCAACGCTTAATCAGAAACGTGATAATCAGAAGATTTCCATCGAGCCATCTTGTGAAAAGAAAAAAAACGATCGATCGCTTCTACGATCGCCTCGAGCATACTTCGTCGTTTCGAGTGAAATCCAAATAGATTTAGCGAAAATTCGACGGTATGGGAGAGGGAGCGTGTAGTGAAATTCGAGAAACTGGGTCAACGATTCGTCAAAGTCCTTGGAGAATTCCGATAATCCCGGACTTATGATTAACATTCTCGAGGAGAGCTCGGTCGAAAATTCGTTGCGATTAGCCGGCTGGCTCGAGAGGCAAACGAACGCGTCGTTAGTTTCTAGTCGCCTGCCCCTCCTCCCCTTCACTCTCCTCCCCCCCCCCCTCGACCCCCATTCCCCCGGAGCAACCGTCCCACTCCGTGGGCCTCCTACGACCCTCCACGCCAGTTTAGAGAGGCCGACGGGAAGAAGAGGAGAGGCGAGCGGTCTCTCACCAGGGGCCGACGACCACTACCGGACCCAACTCTACCTCCCCCTCTACCTGCCCGACCTCCTCGAGACCGCGATTATGCGCAGATTAAACTCGGCTCGTTGCTGCGCTCAGATTCGGCACCAAGTGGCTTCCACTGGCCGAGGGTGTGCTTCCCATCCCGCTCAACATTTTCGTCCATTTCGGGAAACAGTCGTCTCTCCGAATTTGAGAAATTTGAGACGAGTTGTGGGGGGGAGGACGATTTCGTACAGAGCGGGAGAAAAGTATATAGGTTTGACGAGTGGAGAAATAGTTTGGTACGACTGGAACGTACGACTCTCTGAAATTTGAGAAATTTGAGATGTGACGATTGTTCGTTTCCAGAACGGAAGTACGAAGCGAAGTAGAGGAGCACGGAATATGGGGAAAATTTAATTTGATTGAAGTTACGAGGCGTTTTAACTTTAAGCGATTAAAGTTAAACTTTATTCGAAATTAACCAATTACTTTTTCAAAGGAGTTGATCTCGTACGAAGGAGAGGTCTCTGAATTTCGAGGAATGAAGGTAGGAGGAATAATAGAGTTGCTACTACCCGGCTGAAATAAAAAAATTACAAGGGGCGAAGAATACGAGGAGATTTGGCAAGATTTTTAGAGATGGCGGTCGATAGCGAAAAGGTAAAAGAGACAAAGTAGGTCCTTGAGTGGGAACGAGTGGCCGCAAGGAGGTTACCCGAAGGGCCCCACGGCTGATTAACGAGCGCATGCTCGAAAAGTGTGAGAGCCCGAATTTCGAGGACGCGTCAGCCCTCCCAGCGTGGCCACCGGAGCACCTGTCGTGCGTGAGATTTTAAGAGCGTGTCGTTTACACTCCGCCGGCCAAAGAATCCCGAGGCGACCCGTCTTGTCTCTCCCCAGAAGCCGCAATCACATCTCCTTCCACCTCCAGATTCACTCCGAATATCCATCCAGAGGATAAAATCCCAACTCGCTCCTTCGGAAAGGGAGGGAGAGACGCTAGAAAAATAACGTATAGCGGAAGGAAGGAGCGAAATATCGGATAGAAGCGGGCCTGAAATCCAAAAATTCACGGAGCGTGTGATCGTATATATATATATATATAACGAAAACACAGGAGGAAAAGATGAACGGGCCTACCCTCGTTCTCTCGAGAAGCTTAAGAGAAGAAAGGCGAAGGAGGCGGCGAGAAGGAGGAAGAGGATCCGCTGTTTGCGGTGAAATTCAAATCTCCACCGAGAGATGTGTTTGCGCCGTGCACGCCCCGCGCAAAACCGGTTCCGACCGGGGAGGGGGGGAAGGAGGGGAGGGAGGGCCCGTTCCATACCCGCTTCGAGCTAACTCCTGGCCGATAAGGCAGGCAACGGCGGGTGGGCAGGTTGGGCCTGTGCGGCACGCAGCACGATCTAGCGGGGGGATCGCGAACCCGAGGATCTGCCTTCTTACCGATCCTCGAAAAATGGGCCTTGCGTGTCTCTCGCTCCGTGGATGCGTTACCGATCTCGAGGAGAAAGCAGGTTCCTTTCTCCATCAGTCTTCGATCCTTTGGGAAGGAACGTTGGAAAGATGATTGAGCGAGCGTACGATAATGATTAATAATTAGATTCGTTCGAGGGCAATACTTGTGAACCGTACAAGGTATAATCTTTAACAAAATTCTGAAGAAGGGAACGATGGTAAATTTGTATGCAGACGCGTCATAACTCGTGTACACAAGACCCTTGTTGAAACTTTTACAACTCGGGGCTTGAGACGCTAGAAAACTTCCACTCGAAACTTTGGCAAAACTCGGCGAAGATTATTGTCGAACGATAACCGAAGATACTCACTCATACCGTGGAATTAAAAAAAAAAATAGAAACCTATATTATATATCAAGAATCGAAAAGAAAAAAAGAATCACGAATGATCGATAAAATTTTGACAATAAAATCGGAAAATTGGATTTTTAGCCGGAGAGGGATTAGCCGCGGGCGAATCAGAAATTTCGGACGAACAGGCGAGCTTCTCTCCGCCCAAACACCCTCGTTCACGGCCGCCGCGCGTTAATAAAATACAGACATCGAGGCGAGCCATGCGGCACGATTTAACCTTCGATTAAAGGAGTCAAGCCGGTCGTGACTTACCGTAATGAGTCGAGCACACAGACCGCATATATACATATATATATATATATATATATGTATCAAAGTTATATAAAGCCGCGAGAGATGGGGCGAGACTCACCGCGCCACGCTGTTTTTCTCGCGAGGGAAGAGGCGCGAGATTCTGGGTCAATAATTCGCGCGACGCGTCGCAAAGTAATTTTCGCAAACGCATTCTCAGAATTATCCCGTTGTTATCTTTTCGTTCCTAATTCCGATTACGAATTCAGAGGAGGAATTTTTGGATTCGACTGATGATAGGCATCCGTGCTAAAGGTTTCATAATCGGTGTGAAGTTTCTCTTGTGAAAATCTCTAAACTCGAATTATATTAGGCATTTATACAAGGACAAATGTCCACTATAGTCGACGTCCATACGAAGATCTCCAGACTCGAGTATCCATATCCATTAAATCCGTTGTAATCGATATCTGGAATATCTAGAATATCTGTGGATCGAAGATCCACTTCTAAACTCGAGTGGACGTTTGAATCGAGTACAACATCCGCGAAACGAAATGGTCTGATCCGATCCCCGCCGAAATTACCCCAAAAATTACCGCGAGAATTACGAGGTATAATACGAGTATTCGCGAGAATATTGCCTATTCCTTTTATTATGGATGAATCTCGCGTACGGAGTAAAAATTAATAGAAACAACGTAACGTGGCCAACCGTTCCGATTAAGAGCCGTTAACCTAATTGAATCGAAAATTGCGCGCGACCCACCCGCGAATCGAAATTGCTCGCTCGTCCCGATCGTAATCGCGATTGGACCGGCACGATACTTGGATATTTGAACGTAATCGAGGCGAGGTTTAACGGAATCGGCGAGTAATTAGTCGCGGCCGAAAGTAACGTCGATTCCGTGTTGAACGCGGGGGTAATCGTGGCGTTGTTAAAGGGAGGGGGTTCCGTTCCGACTTGGCGTGGTGACTTTGCATGCGTGGTCGTGCAAGAATTTCTCGATTAT